CCATTTCCCCGGCCCCCATGCTGATCTTCAATTCACTACCTAGCCAAGGCTGGCCTTGAAGTTATAGTGATGTTCCTCCTCAGCCTTAAAAGTGCTAAATTACAGGCATGTGCTAAAACTTTAGCTCAGTGGGCCCTTTGGAGCACTAAACTTTTCTTAAAAAATGTATTTGGTTGTTACAGGGTCTCACTATGCAGCTCAGACTTATGGTGATCCTCTTTTTTTCAACATCCCCCATACTGGGACTACAGGGGAATGCCACTATGTCCAGATTCTGTGGGTGGCTCAACCTGCCCTGCAGGCAGGGATGGCACTGCTTGTTGTGCTGGGGAATCTAACCGTAGTGCCTGTGCTTGCCTTCTTTAGTTCACTGAGCCATCTCACTGGCCCTCTAAAGTTTACTTTTGATGTAACGTTCATTTCAAGCAGCACATACACAATGTTAACATTACTGTTCCGGTTATGACTTCCCTGTGGTTTCTTTGTCAGGTTATTAAGCATAGACATATATGTGAATTATACACAACCACACATGTAATGGCATTTGCTCTTAATAAAAATTGCATTTATTATATAACATGAACAGTAGACTCTTACTATAGTATACTCTAAGAACTTACTAATATTAGACTAAAATTATGAAAGAAGTTTCATCATTAATTTTACTTTCAAATGTCAGTGTACATAGACTCAGATAAAGAAAGTCCACTGAGATTATCTGTTTATTATCATATTTTGCTGGTAACTTAGGTTAACATTTTAACTACTGTTTCATAGTATTAAAATATAAGTTTTAAAAATTACCTGATGTAATTTAAAGAACCTTTCAATCTCTTCTCCATCTCCACCTACATTACTGACAAGCAGATGTCTCAATTGGTCAACAGGTCTAAGTTTATGAAACATAAGACTCCCCTAAGAAATGAAAAAAAGATTAAATAATATGAAAAACAGATTTACTAACTTCAGCTGGCAGCAAGTAAAACTACTACCTTAATCAAATAAATGAAACAAATATTAACATCAAAAATGCAAAATAAGTTCATTTACTTTTCGGTTCCAACCTACACTAGATCTATATATTAAGAGAGAAAATGTAATAAAATACTGACCTTCTCATGCTGCCCCTCACATTGGAGCACTAAAGTTGATCATCCTTTAGTAATGCTGGCACTGAATCTATCTACTTAAGAGAAAAAGAAAGCTCTATCCATACTCACCTTAAATCAGTACGAATTCCAAACAGATCAAAGACATAAAATACAAGAGAATACTATGGTAGTACTGGAAAAAATCTGAAAGAATCTGTGAATGTGTTCTTTCCACACTACAGAGGAATTACTCTGATACAACATAAGTTCCAAAGATTATCTACAATTTCAATGAATTATAGATCTGTATAGTCCCTCCTCATCTTCAGTGGATACATTCCAAATCACTAATGGATGCCTAAAACCAAACCCTATAAACAAGCACTGCAATACCATAACGGCGGATCTGATGTATACAATAGCTACTAAGTGGCTAAGGGGAGAACAGTGCATGCAATATGGCTACAATGAAGAAGGGACGATTTATGTCCTGTGTAGACTGGAATCAGGGGAGTACAAGACTCACACTATTTAGATACATAGAATTTAAAGCCTGTGAATTATTTGGTTTTAGAACTATTAATTTTCAATTGTACTTGAATGTGGTAACAAACCTTGTACTATGAACCTGTAAAGAGGCATATCAAGCAAGAATAGATCACAGAAATATAAATACTTAAAAAGACAGTCAATCTCACTTTTAATAAGAGAGAAGAATATATTGGAGAGGCTACAAGAAAGCAGGTACAAATATCATTCACTAATACCACAGGGAAA